TTAACTCTGACAGATTCCTGGGACATACATGGAATGTTCATAATGTAACTCATGTATGTCCCAGGAATATGCATGTACATCACATGAATGTTCCAAGTATATTCTGGGAATATCATTTTGCTATGTGGGATGAACTCGATTGTTTTATCAAAATATGAGTCTTACATAAGGACAAATTCACATCGAGTTTCCCTAAAATACATCGTAACATTAAAATACATAACAACTCCCGATATTTCGAAAATATAWTTTTTTTGAAGAACTTTGACCATCAATTGCCGAAGAGYCAGACAGTTTTTGTTAATAAAAGTTAAATTAGATCGTCTTCTTTTAGTGCAAAGAGTATGGCAGTATCCTTTTGGTCATGTGCTTAAGGGACACCSTGTATGTYTAGATCATACACTTTCAACTTTAATTTCAGGTGAAACCTATTGACAGTCTCAGTCTTTGGGAAGAAATTAGAACCATGGAAGCTGTTAGTAAACGCAAGCCTTTGGAGAGTGCCAGTTCCAAAGAAACTTTGTTCGGGGCCATTTTGCTTGATAAAGTGGTTGAAGATGAGGAAATAAATGCGAACTGTCTTGGCGGTTTAGATGTTCCCCGTAAATCCAGTTTAACATTTAAAAGCCCTATTAGATTCCCATCTATTACAAAGATTACCAAGTTTTGCTCTTCGGCTTTCGGGAGAAAATCTGAAAATGTAGTGGAAAATAATACGAAACGTGCTGAAGTACAAAAAGACGATGTTAGGCAACTCAGTGCTCAAAAAGTAGCAAATACGTTGCTTCATCTGAAACAGGAACAAAATATGAATTTAGAAAATGATGCCGGCACCCCGCCCCATGAAATCCACTTGGAATTTGATTACACTAACTCAGAGGAAGATATTGATACGTATTATCAGCCATTTTGCCTATTTTGCTTCTGTTTCTAAGATTGCGATTTATTTTCGTTGAGAATATATTTTACCTATTCTATCAAGCAAGAATCTAAAGATATGTTGAATTGATGTGTAGAAGCCATGTTAATAACACCACTAGACATTTTTTAAATCACACCATAGTGTATTTTATACTAATTTAGAACAGTATTTTGTAAATAATTGCAATTATTTCTCTGTGCAACTTTAAAAGTATATTTTAGCAAAATATTCGTATGATCAATAGTTTACAGTTTCCATGCTTCTAGTCAGAATGGTGACGGATTTTTAAAAACATATACGCTTTAAAAGCAACTACTACAGCAAAGTAATTTTTATCGTAAGTTTTTGAATGGTTTCAGTGCTTCAATGATTTTGTCACAGGTATGATAAACTAATTAATTATTAATGTATACAATTGTAGAAAAGCTAATCTGAATATCAATAGTTCAAACAGTTCGTCATGCGCTAACATCAGCTCTATCTAAAATTTAAATATAGTTTCTTGAAAACATTTTTATATCTAATTAAATAAAATATGGAAATATGTAAAGTTGAATAAAAATATAAGCTTTTGAAAATATGATATTAACCCAACAGTTCACTAATTATATCTAAAAAAACTCAGAAAAGCATTTATGTAATTTATTTTGAATCGGAGAGATTTTGAAAATGTGTTGATTAGCATTTTAAATTGAGCTTCTTTTGTTGTAAGTAAATTTAATACAGGGTATTTTTAATTTGAGATGACGGCTGTGACTGTTTTTTTTATGACAATTCCATTTTTTTCCAGTTTCAAAGATTTTAGTTTGAACAACTATGGGCCGATTGCACAATCCATGTTCAGCGGTGAAAATTTTCGGTTGTCCCAGTCGCGCAGAGATGCCAGGTCTACCGATTTTTCGGTAGATCTACCGATTTGTCAAGGAACCTACCGATCTACAGATACCATGCAGATTTCTACCGAAAAGTAACAAATAAAAGTTAAAAACATTTCCATAGATTACTTAAAATAATATAACATATTTCCATTCATGATCAAAGTCCCTTGGTAATAGCAGACATTTTATTTTAGCACACCTCGTATTTTAGAGTTATTTTTCCAACATAAAATGAATCAAGCCCGCCATATAGATCATAAATATGATAAAATTATGGTTTATGGATCCTGCAATAGTGAAATCAGGTTCCCTACAATCTATTTCTGATGTTGCAATGATATTTCCAAATTTAATAAAT